TTTGACATAGCAATAATTGAAGGATTTAGTAAAAATCTTTGGTAGGTTTTCTTGTGTGCGATTCAAATTTATTGTTACGTTTTTTTTATTTTTTTTTGTTTTTATTATAATATATTCAATTCAACTAAATAATCTCATTAGTCATTTCTAGCCATTCATCGGCAAGTAATACAGTATACATCGTAACCCTTTAATTTTTATTTTATTTATTTTTTTGAATAGTCATAACCCTTTAATTAATAGGCTGATGATAAAGCATACTACAGTATAATACTTGAAAATTTGAATTAACACCTCGAACTTGGTATTAGCAAACTATTATAGGATACTCAGTAACTTTTAGCCAATTTGGATAAACTTTTAGCATTGAGTTACTTTAATCCTATTTTTGCTAGGTTTAAAAGGTTTCGATTTAAAATAGGTCGTGTTACTATCGAGTTCGGACGTAATCAGTTTGGGGTGTTTTCGGTTTTGGGTTGTAGTGGTTCGGCTTGATAATGGGTCGGGTCATTAACAGTTTGTACATATTCGGATCAGTTCAGTTTCGGGTTGGAAAAAATTGGGTCGGGTCGGGTCGGTTTTCCGTTTTCAAAAAGCGGATTTTTAACGATTTAGTTCCTTTTCGGATTGATTCGAAACATTCGGGTTTAACAGTTCGGGTTAGAAACTAACAACTCTACTTGAAATTAACACCTCGAATTTGGTATAACAAACTATTATAGGATACTCAGTAACGTACCTTTAGCCAATTTGGATAAACTTTTAGCCTTGAAAATTTCTTTCTATTTCTTACGGACTTGGTCGATGAACAACTAAGGTTGCCTCGATTCTTCCCGCCGCATAGTATATACTAAGCTCTTCGAACCTTTTTGCGCCTAATCAAGATAATTCCAATCCACTGACTCTTTAGAGTAAGGTAATTGGAATTTGCTTACTTGTTCCAAGTAAGGAAGGGAAGCTTATCTTGGGCCTTCTATGATCCATTCAACCAGCCTAAAAGATGAGAGATAGGCCTGACGCAAGGAGATTTCGCACTAAAAAGCGGATTAGGTCTGATAATCGGTTTTCGGAGCCAACTTCATTCGTCAGCAACGAATGTTCCAGCTTCTATTCGTCAATACTTCGTAAAATGGCCATAAATTTCTCGTTTCTTATCTAAATTGGGCATATGACCCGTAGTCGAGAAACTCTTGAAACAAGTTATCCCCTCTAACTTGAATCACCTCAAGATCACTAATACATTGAGAGGTATATGCATTCAAAATTAACAATTTAAAGACTGTATCTTTGGGATTTTCAATATTCTGTGTTATGTATTCAAATTGAGAGTTTACAGAAATTTATATACAAGGACTTGCCATATTACTACCCTAAAATTAAGCCTGTAAAGAAGGACTAATTTGATATGATAAGCTAACTATAGCAAGTGAATAAATCATATACAAAAATAATACAAATATTTTAACACTCCCCCTCAAGTTGGGTCGTAGGATCTCTAACGCCCAACTTGGACAATGCTCCTTCAAAGGTTTGAGATGTGACAGCCTTTGTTAAGATATCTGCTAACTGATCTTCTAATTTGACAAACGGAAGACTTATCACCTTTGCCTCTAAGTGATCCTTAATGAAGTGTCTGTCAATCTCAATGTGCTTAGTACGATCATGCTCTACTGGATTTTCAGAAATACGGATTGCTGCTTTATTATCACAATACAGTTTGCAGCTTTTCTTAGGAGCCATTCCATGTTCCGAAAAAAGTTTTCGAAGCCACAGAACCTCGGTAATTCCTTTTGCAATTCCCCTAAACTCAGCTTATGCACTTGACATAGCCACTACTTTTTGCCGTTTGCTTTTCCACGTGACTAAATTTCCTCCAACCAATGTAAAATAGCCAGACGTGGATTTCCTGTTATCTCGGTCACCTCCCCAGTCTGCATCTGTAAAGGTATAAAGATCCAGATGGTCATGTTTTTCATAGACAACTCTACGCTCAGGTGTTCCTTTTAAATACCTCATAATACGGTATACCGCCTCAAGATGTTGTTTTTACGGTTTATGCATGAATCTTCTGACTACACCTGCTGCATAAGCTAGATCTGGACGAGTATGAGATAAGTAGATCAATTTTCCAACTAATCTCTGATATAATGTCTGATCAACTAACTCTGCTCCTTTAATTATCTGAAGTCCATGATTCATCATCAGTGGAGTTTCAATAGGTTTGCAGTCTATCATCCATGTTTCTGTCAAAATATCAAGAATATACTTCCTTTGGGAAATAAAGATACCCCTTTTTGATCTGAGTACCTCTATTCCCAGGAAATATTTGAGATTTCCAAGATCTTTCATTTCAAACTCCTGGAATAGCCTTTTCTTCAGCTGGGCTATTTCTTCTTTATCATCACCTGTAATAATCATATCATCAACATAGATAATCAGGCATGTGATCAGTTTCCCTCTTTTCTTGATGAACAGGGTATGATCTGAGTTGCTCTGTTTATATCCAAATCTCCTCATTGTTGTAGTAAATCGCCCAAACCATGCTCTAGGAGATTGTTTCAGACCATATAGAGCCTTTCGCAACCTGCAACCTTCTCCAGATGAAAAATTCTGAGAAAAACCTGGTGGTGCTTGCATATAGACCTCCTCAGCTAGATCTCCATGTAAGAAGGCATTTTTGACATTGAACTGGTGCAGTGGCCACTCTTTGTTTGCAGCAATCGAGAATAACACTCTAATGGTGCTAAAATTCGCCACTGGTGAGAAAGTTTCGTTATAATCAATTCCATATGTCTGAGTGTACCCTTTTGCAACCAATCTTGCTTTGTACCTTTCAATACTGCCATCTGCTTTGTACTTGATTGTGAAAACCCATCTACATCCCACTGGTTTCTTCTTTTTTTGGTAAGACACACTTTTCCCAGGTTTTATTTTGGATAAGTGCGTTGATCTCATCTTCCATCGCTTTCTTCCAGTGCTTACTTCTGAGAGCTTCTTCAGTTGTAGTGGGAATAGTTTCAGAGTAGATGGCTACATTACATGCCTTGGCTGTCTGAGATAGATTTCCTTCACTAATTCTGTCAACAGGATATTTGGATCGTTGTGCTTCAAATTCAGGATCATATCTCCTAGGTGGAATACCGCTTGTGCTTCGGGGAGGAAAGCTATACTTCCCAGTCTGCTCTTCATTTGACTGTTCAACAATGTTTTCAGGAGAAATTCCTGATATCATACTTCTTTCAGGAGAATTAGCAGACTCAGGAGAATTATCAGACTAAGGAGAAATATCAAAAGTGTTATGAGAGGAAATACTAGATGGAGTACATACCTCTCTTTCAGGATTCTCAGACAGGGTGACAGAATCACTAGGCATAGTTTCTGAATCGTTGTTATTGTTGAATTGTATTATGTTATCAGTCGTTTCTGTGGTTTTGCCTACTTGTTCTTTTGGATCAGGATCAGTCAACTCGGGATAAACTAACCAACTTTGATCATCACTCAAACTCTCCCCCTGAGATCTAAGGTGGGAGTAACAGTATTCAGTTTCAACAAAGTCACAATCCATGGTTACGTATAGCCGGTTTTTGACTGGATCGAAACATCGATATCCCTTTTGGTTTACTCCATATCCCACAAACACACATTTGACTGCTCGAGGTTCTAACTTATTTCTGCTACGCTTAGGTAAATGAACATAGACAACACATCCAAAGACCATGGGAGGCAGAGAATAGGAAATGGACACACTTGTATGGTTTTTAAGGGTGTCTAGTGGAGTAGCAAAGTTCAGGCTTTTTGTGGGAAGGCGGTTGGTTAGGTAATTTGCTGTAGCAATTGCTTCTGGCCAAAAATGAGCGGGAACGCATGAGTCAAACATCATGGCTCGAGTCATTTCCAAGAGAGTTCGGTTTTTTCGTTCCGCTACTCCATTTTGTTGTGGAGTATCGGGACAGGTAGTTTGGTGTATGAGACCATGGGTTTTTATGAAAGAGGCTAAGTCCTGATCTTTGTATTCTCCCCCATTATCAGATCTAAGGATGCGTATTTGTGTTTGGAATTGTGTTTGGGTCATATTATAAACGGACACAAATACATCATGCACATCAGATTTATTTTTCAGAAAATACACCCAACTCATTCTAGTGCAATCATCAATAAAAGTGACATAATACTAGAAACCATGATTATTAAATTCAGGGGCTGGTCCCCAAACATCAGAATGAATCAACACAAATGGAGTTTCAGTCTTACTACTACTTCTAGGATAAACATGTTTATGACTCTTGGCTAGAATACAAGACTTACAATCAAAAGAAATATTTGAACTAGCAAGGGAAGGGAAAAGTTTCTTTAAGTACCCTAAAGATGGATGACCTAATCGCCGATGCCACATCCAGAGTTGATGTTCAACCGTTCCTCGAACAAGCGCTGCGCTACCCTGTTGAGACATCTAATCAACATAATACAATCCATGTTCTTTAGTACCATGCCCAATGATCTTCCCCGTTTGAGAGTCCTGTATAACACAACCACTAGAATCCATTAGAACAGTACAATTTAACTCCTTGGTTAGTTGACTGATAGATAAGAGTTTATGAGCCAATTGAGGTACAAGAAGACAGTTGGATAATTTAATGTTATCCAAAACAGCAATTGAGCCCGAGCCTTTTGTTTCAATTTTTTCTCCATTAGCAGTCTGAATGTGACTTTTAATGGGGATATTTATTTTGTCAAGATCAGAATCATCAAAAGTCATAGTATCAGTGGCCCCGCAATCGAGTACCCAGTTTGTGTTTTTACACCTACTAAACAGTCCAATAGAAATGTTTTTCGGTTTATTAGATATTGAATCTGGTGTTTCAGTGGATTTATTTGGTCTAGTGGACTGATTTGTGGTATTGGGCTCAAACAACTTTTGTTGATTATTATCAATTGTGGGCTCAACAGTCATAGGCTCAAGACAAAGTGACTCAGTATATAAAGAAAAGGAAGAGTTTAAGGGTTTCATTCCTTCCTTTTTCACACCACTACTTTCCAAACCTGTCATGGAGGCAGCGGTGGCCACCATTGCTTCACCCTCTCCGTTGGTTGTCGTTTCTCCTGCTCCAAACGCCACCTTGCTTGTTCGGTTTTGACCCTCTCCCGTTTTCTTTTTTCGATCTGCCCACCAATCTGGGTATCCAATTAGCTTAAAACACCCTTCCTTGGTGTGTCGCGAACCGCCACAGTGGGTGCACCAGAGATGGGTCTTCTCATCTTCACGCCTAAATTTAGGCTTCTCCGTTCTACTCTTTGCAGCTAGATCTGTTCCGATTCCCGGTGATTCATTTGATGAGGGAATTTCGTTTTTCATTATTCCCCGGCGGGATATTTCTCTCCAGACGGTTGCGTAAGCCTCTTCGACAGTCGGTAGAGGCTCCCTTTGAAGGAGGTCTCTCCGATCTTTGTCCAACGTTTCATTTAATTCAGCAAGAATTGCACTACTACATTTTTAACCAAATGCAACGGCATAATAAAGGCTAATACAACGGTATTTTAACTGCCGTTGCAATAGAGTAGGCTATTGCCACGGATTTAAAACTAATGTTCATAGAGGTAGAGCTATTGCCACGGCTCTAAAGAACCGTTGCAATAACCTAGCTATTTTAACAAAAATGAGAGCTATTGCAACGGTATGTGTTGTATCATTAAAATTTTAGAAGCGCGCATTTCTTCCCTCCAATTTTTTCACCAAATATTTTGAACAAAACGTGTTTATTCACAACTCATTCTCACGGATTCTCACAGTACCCAATCTACCCATTCTCCATTTTCCCCATTTTCTCCATTTACCCCTATTCTCAATTTTCCCCATCTTCTCACATTTACATATTTGCTTCAACTCCAGAATTACTTCGAAATTCTGAGGTGAAAATCACTCAAAAAATCACTCAAAAAATAATGAGAATAAGCAAATAAATCTGAGGAAGTAGACGAAGGCGGCAGTCAGGAGGTGGTGGCTGATAGCGGCAGTCAGGCGGTGGTGGCTGACAGCGGCAGTTAGGCGGTGGTGGCTGATAGCGGTACATAGTATGTCACTTCTTCCAATCTTTCGTTCTTCGCTGCCTCACACCTCAGTCCTCACTAGCCTCCTGTAGTCCAGTAGATCGACCGTCGCCATGATCCGTCGTGCCTCAGTGCCTCACAGGAACTCGTCCGTCGTTGTTGCCACACCGTCGGCCGTCTTCGATGCATCAATGGTATGTCTTAATGTCTTATACTCTTAATTGATTAATTTAGTATATCTTGCTCTTATAATCGAAATCCCCAATTTGAAATTTTGATTGTTAACCCTATTTTTCAGATTTTAATGTTTCAATTGTAATAATAAACAAGCTCAATTGCTTATTATTCGATTTTAATCCCCAATTTGAATCTTCGTTTTTTTTGTAGTCTTCTTCTCCTTTCAACCTTTTATCTCTTTCCTCCTAATCTTCACAAAAATCAGGTACCTAATTCTTCCTTATTATTCTCTATTTTGATTTTTTCATGTAATTTTTTTTTTTAATTTTGATTGCTATATTATACCCTATTATAGGTGTCGTGAAATTCTATAGGCGTGAGAGCAACCATTAGTGGAGTTTATGTTGACTATGTTTTTCAATTTCTGTATCTGTGCTGCATAGAGGGATTTTGTTTGCTTTGTGTTCTCTGTGGCAATCTTGTTCCCTTGCCATGACATATAATTTTATACTTGTAAATTACATCTCTTCGTTACCTCTTGTTCGGTATTGACTACATGGAAAGAAAAGTTTGTTACTTGTGGAGTTCTGCTAATCCATTTCACTTTTCATATTTCAGTTTATGCTTTGGGGCCGGGTTTGATTGAGACAATTTATTGCATTGAGTTTTAGTACTAAATTGTCATACAGTGAATGTGATGCAAGGGCAGGTTTACATTTGCAAATTATTGTGTTTTCACGATTAATTATCTGATAGTGTATTAATTGTGGTTGACAAGTTTCGTTGTTGGTGGACTTGCTAATATCTCAAAATACAGAGACTAGCATCAGGTTCTTGTTACCTTATTAATGAAATTGTAATGAATTCTTCCGTTCTTCTTCATTTCACTTATCTTTTTTAGAACCAAACTGCTGGGAATGCTTTAACATTCATGAAGAGTTTTTCTTTTCTTACTACCACATATCATATTATATCCTTTTGAGCATTTAAACCAATACCTATTCATTTGGATAATATGCACTATTTCACTGTATTTATGTAAGCTGTGTTTTAGATATGTTTTCCCTGACTCTATAGTGGCCACCCAGTCATGGTTTATTCTTGCTCATGTAAGTCCTGATTCTTTCACCATCTTTTAGTTTAATCTTTTGAAGATGCAACATTGATATATACATATTTAACCTTTATCTCTTGACTGCCAGAAACCATTCTTCTCAAAATTTGGAGCCATTGTTACAATTTCTGTTCTTGGAACCTTTAAAGCCTCAATTTTTGTCTTGCCTTCTAGTGTAGGCATCTTTTGATCTCCTTTACCATCTGATAATGACTATATTGCTATTTGGATTTGCTTATGACTTGAACTGCCGTTGATTTCTGCTTTAGGTATCTTGATGGGGTCACATATCTTATATAAAAATTCCCATTTGTTGAATGTTATAATGTTTGGAGCACTGATAATATCAACTGATCATATCATTGTTTTGGCAATATTCTGGGTGACTCACTATTTTGTTTCTGTTTCCTGCTTGACGTGTTTCCATTATTTAATTTGTTTTCTTTACATTGTTAATAGATAATGTCATTCTTGTTGCTTGAAACTTATGCAACCTTTGTTTCCTACTATTTGCAACGAAATTTTTTATGCCTCATAAATAACACCCCTTTGTTGCATATAATAAGAAACAAAGGTAGTATGTGAATATAAATGGACAATTAGTTAACTAAACAAATTAAAAATTCTAATACAATCAAATAAATTTTAGACGTCAAATAGCCAAATTACTCTATCTTGTTAAATAAAAAATAAAATTGCAGCAGTCCATTTTACCAGGATGGGAGGGTTGGGAAGTTACTGAGTTAGAAACCTTAGTTTGCCTGTAAAATATATAGAGAATTTATAATAATTTTTACTAATCATATGGTACATTTTTAATTTCTAGACTTTCAGGACTGGTTTGAGAGTTGAGTGTTGTCATGGCCGTCTATTGGCTCAAGGCATATTATGCACTTTAGGGAGCTCAAATTAAATTTATGGGCCTCTTTACAAGGAGCCAATTTACAAGTGAGTTCATTTTCTTACTGCATACTTTTAATAGCCCTTTATTGTCTAGACTAAAATAAAAAATTGCCCCGGTTAAGGGTTCAAATGTCTGATTGTCAAAAAATTCTGGAGTTGGAAATGATTATTTTAGTAACTTCTCTGGTAAATTCTGAAATAGTTGCACCTGTAGCTTGTGTACTGGATTTGTTTGTAGTTCAGAAAAGTTGCATGTCCATTTATGAGGAAGCTCAATGTCCTGTAAAATGTAATGGCATAATGCTATAATCTTCTTAGAAACCAAATAGATCTTGCGTTTCACCTTTTAATAGAAGTTTGTATTATCATAACCTTTTAAAATACAAAATTGCCTCGGTTAAGGGTTCAAATGTCTGATTGTCAAAAAATTCTAAAGTTGTGAAATTATTATTTTAGTAACTTCTCTGGTAAATTCTGAAATAGTTGCACCTGTAGCTTGTGTACTGGATTTGTTTGTAGTTCAGAAAAGTTGCATGGCCATTTATGAGGAAGCTCAATGTCCTGTAAAATGTAATGGCATAATGCTATAGTTTGTATTATCATAACCTTTTAGAAGCCATAGTTTGTAAAATGTAATCTTAGAAACCAAATAGATCTTGTGTTTCACCTTTTAACAGAAGTTTGTATTATCATAACCTTTTAGAAGCCATAGTCTGTAATATTTAATAAAAGTTTTGATAGTCTTATAATATAACACTTACATTTTGCTTCCTGTTTTTAGTGACTCGTACGTGGTTCTATTCAAGGGTGTGGCCAAGCTGGGGACGAGCTTCAAACTAAGAAATCAGTTGATCAATCTAAGTACAGCAGCTCACAAGTCGTGATCCAAGTGGCAGTAGTAATCAGTGTAATGCTTTTTGTAAACAACAAAAGCTATGGAAGTGCATCTGAGATTACTGGTGTTAATGGCTTAATACCTCTGCTTCTGGCAAGAAGGAATTGAGCCTTGTTAAGGAGAGTGAAGGCTGTAAGCCCTTCGTACATGATCGGTTCAAGTTGAAAAGGAATTCATTCTGCAGAAAGAGAAGCAGCTCTACCTAAGTTCCTACAAAAACGGAAAAACCGAAGCTTTGCGAAAAAGGTGAGTAAACATCAGGGGACATATTTGTGGTATATGAACTTGACCTGAATTATTTGTGTGTATCTATAGATTATCATATGCCTAAATGTTTACATAGCTTGATTTTCAACGTCGAATGGTGGATTATCTCACAAGTATTAGTATTTGATTATAAATGCAGGTACGGTATCAAAGCAGGAAAAAAACTAGCATAGCAGCAGCCTATATGTGGCAATCTTGTTCCCTTGCCATGACATATAATTGTATACTTGTAAATTAGCTCTCTTCGTTACCTCTTGTTCGGTATTGACTACATGGAAAGAAAAGTTTGTTACTTGTGGAGTTCTGCTACCTCTTCCTTTCCTTGCTGCTTCTTGTGCATGGTGTTGGTCAGTCCCTGTTGTAGCTTGCTGCTGCAGTTCTTGCAGGCTTTGACTGTTTGTCTGCTGCCTTTCTAAGCTGTCTTGGTGCTGCTCTGCTTCTCCTATTCTGGAGGCTGCTGTCTATTGGCTGATGCTGCTGATGTGGTACTTGCCTCCCGCCTACTGTTGTTGATCTGATGTCTGCTATTGTTGCTGATTTGTTATCTGCTGCATGCTAATCTGCTGCTGCTGTTGATTGCTGTCTGGGGCTTGTGTGCTGCTGCTGCTATCTTCCTTTTTGCTGCTGCGTATTGCTGACGTCCTTGCTGCACTAATGACTAATGAGGTTGACTGCTTGCTGCACTAACGAGGCTGACTGCTTGCTGCACTAATGAGGCTGCTGCGTATATTAAGAGTTTTGAAGCAGCACTTTGTTGTAGTAATATGATTTGATCAACTGAGACGCAGCTGTTCAAATTGTCAAGGTATGTTGAACAATCATATGCTTTGTTAGTCACAAGTACCAATAAAGTAGTAATCTAATTTTATTCTGACTTGAACTACTTTTCCTATAAAAGCTTATGCCTTACCCTTTCTGTACCAATTGCAGGAGGTGGATAATAATGAAGTTGAAGAGGATGCTTCATGAATTGCTTTATGAGAAATTGGAGAAGCATGAGAAAAAAATGATAATGCGGTCCAAAGAATTGCCGAAAATATTGTTTGGCGGACAAAATGATTTAGTTTTAACTTTTAATTGTTTTTTTTCTTAGTTTAACTAGTGATAATTTAATTTTGTAATTTTCCTTATAGATAACAATGTAAAAACTTTGAATTCATATTAATAAAATTCTATTTTTTTTAAATTCTGATTTTAATTGTATTATTATTATTATTATTATTATTATTATTATTATTGGCATTAGGTATAGTGAACCGTGGCATTAGGGTATATGCATTGTGTGACATTAGGTATAGGGAACCGTGGCATTAGAGTATATGCACCGTGGCATTAGGTATAGGAAACCGTGGCATTAGGTATTATAGCTAATGCCACGACAATAATGTTGTCGTTGCATCAGGTATTGATCTAACGCCACGGATCATTGATGCCGTTGCATTAGGCCTAATACCATGGATTTTGACACCTAATGCAACGGATTTGAGGGTTGCAATAGATAAAAAATGTAGTAGTGTTGGTAAAGTCTATTTTGCTGAATTAATTTATTGTAAATTATTTTATCCTCCGAGCATGTCATTGGATTTGGTTGCCGCCGGTCAATTTCCTTCCAAATAGAGGAGAGCTTGCTATAATATGCCTCGATTTGGTCTCTATCTTGTTGGATTTTGTTGGCTTTGACGGTGAGATCGAGAACCTGTAATCCATCTCTCCCACTGTCGCACATAACCTCGATTCCCCTCCATAGTTCTCTGGCAGTAGGGAAGTCGAGAAACTGGTTCTGCAAATCTTGCTCTATGTTCTCAATTAACCACGAAATTACTATGGAATCACGTTGTGACCATTTGGTGTGATCTAGGTCATCGGGAGATGGCGGGGAGACAATGATGTGGTTGAGCCTACCTCTCCCACCGATCCCTAGATGCATCAATTTGGACCACTTTGTATAATTTTCATGGTTTAATTTTTCGGATTTTTGAAGGGTCTGATTTGTGGTTTCTACAGAGGATTTGTTGGTGTTTAACTGATTAAAAAGTTGCAACACATACATCCTCCATAGTCACCGATTTTGAGACTATTGATTGGTTTTGGTTTTCGGTTGTCATGGTATATGATAACGCCAAAGAACGTTTACCGGTCGCCGGAAAAACGAACCTGGCTCTGATACCAAATTAACAATTTAAAGATTGTATCTTTGGGATTTTCAATATTCTGTGTTAGGTATTCAATTGAGAGTTTACAGAAATTTATATACAAGGACTTGCCATATTACTACCCTAAAATTAAGCCTATAAAGAAGGAAAATTACTCAAAAATTACTAAGAGGAAAATAAGCAAAAAAATCTTGCATGTCCCTTCCTTGAGCTGATTGCTTGAATTTCTGTTCAAGGTATAAAACGAATTTTTGTTTTGAGATTGCGGTCTCATGAGGGCTTTGTTTATGAGGGTGAAACACCACGCATGGTGTTAGGGTTAGGGTTCCTCCACGGAACCACTCTAAAACCCACCTCCCTTGACAAATTAGGGTTTCAGCGAAGACAAGTGGGCGCAAATGAGGAATTAGGGTTTGGTTCTGGGTCTGGGTCATCACTTCCTGTCTTGAACAAGCCCAGATCTGTTGCCAAACCCCCTCCAGTGCGTAGGGTTTCTTATCTGTCTCAATTTCGAAGGATTCGAGGTCCTCCTAACAAAATCACTTGCGATGATGATGATGTAAATGTGGAGTCCCCCCTCTAAGCTCGTTAAACGGGCTTAATTTTGCCGTTGGTAACTGTTTTTATGAAACCCTAACTCAGTTCATTTTATGTTAATTGTTTTTTTTTAGAATCTTGTTTAGGTGGTGGAAGAATTAATCATGCTTATATACCAGTAACCTAGGTTACTGGCGGGATGGATAATTGTTGGTGAAATGTGTGTGGTTGTTGTTGTTGAAACAACATGTGTGTTATGCTGTTTTTAGGCTATAGTGTGGTTAGTTGTTGTTGTTGTTGATCCACCATGTTGTGGCTGTTGATACGTGTGGTTAGTTGTTGTTGTTGTTTATCTATTGTTGTTGTGTATGGCAGGTTGGGTTGGGATTTAATTGGGTTGAGGTGTTTTTTTGGGGCAGTAGATGGTCGGTTAGGGTCGTTTTATTGTGATTGTTAAGCTATTGTTGCTGTGATGTTTTGTGTGTTGTTATGTTATTGACGCTGCCTCTATAGTGGTTGTTGCCCTACTGTTAGTTATTGTTGTCTTTCCCCCTCCCCTGCCTGCTGCCCTGATGTCTTCCCCCTTAGCTTATTGGTTACTGCCCATGGTTTCCTTTGAAATCACCCCTAATGCATTGGCAGAGATAAAGACATGTACTAGCAACTTTTCTATGAGTCAATTATTCGAAAAAGGACCTATTGAATGTGTTTATAAAGCCAATTATCTAGATGGCAAGGTATCAGTAACTTGAATACTAACTCACTGTTGTTCTTAATACCGCTAATAATTATTCTCAATGATTACTCTCAATATAATTAAGATTTGAAAGTGGTACTGCTAAACGCTTGAACATGCTTCTGAGGTAAATTACTTGTGTTTTTTATTCATTAGATTTTTTCTAGATTATTGCAATTGGTCGATAATTAATTTACAATAGATGTTAAGTGGTGACTATAAACCTGTTTCTCTTTTTCTGCCCGGATTTCAAACCATTCCAGAGCTGTATGATTTTCTCTCAAGCCTCAACATAACTGACCTGATGCATACTAAATTAGGTATAAATTGTCATGTATTGGATACAAATGTATTAGCATATTTAATTGTGAGCATTATTTAAACCTGTAAATAATAAGTTTGATTCACTAATTCTTAAAAACAGCCTGTCCATCACCATTAATTTAGCTTAATGTTACATTAGAAGAATAACCTTCTCTCTCTCCTTTGGCTTAATGTCAGGTTTCCACTAATTGCTTTTGAAAGTTGTACATTGATTGATAGCTCATGGGGTGTGTTAGCCAGCGGTATGCTCACGTTATAGACAGCATCAAGGTCACCCTTATTGATGTATATATTTATCATTTACTTGTCATTTCTTCTCTAAGAATTAGTTATTTGCTTGTGATCTCAGTATCACCCTAATTACCTTCCTTCGAAACACGCCAATGAAATCTCAGTATGTTTGCTAAAATCCTATAATTTATTCTTATTACTCAAGGCTTTAGGCTGTACTAGTTCTGTGGCTTTCTTTTTGGTGAATGTTTTATTTCACTGCATGCATATTCTCTTATGATTACCGATCTTCCACTGCTCTCCTTCTTAACACTCCCTTCTTTCAAAAATAAAAAATAAAAAAATGAAATAGAGGGTCGTAATTGCTTGAAAACCAAACCCGATTTCCTCGGCTTTCTGTAATTCCTCTTTTTTTCACCCTTTGATTTGGATAATGAAGAGCCAATGATAGATTGATAGTAGTCTTAGTAGATTCTTAATTTTTCTCTTCAATGTGTATTAAGGCAACGACACTTGGGCGCTATCAATGTCTCATGTTTTGGTGTGTCAACTGGATTTGTGGAAGTTGTTCACTAGGACATTGATGTATCATACTATAGCATTTCTGCTTAACTTACTTTGCCTATTGAAAATGTAGAATAACAAGCTCAGAAATACAACAAGGTTCAGTAGATTTAATCAGTTTAACAAACTTAAACCTTTGTCTTTAACCTTTTATTTACTCTAGACTCTATAAGCTCTAAGTTTTTCAGTGTCAAAGGCCAAGAACCCTGGTGAAGCAGTACAGAACATAGACAGCCAGCTTGATCCCGGTTTTTTCAGAATTATTTTTTCAATCAAACAGGTGTAAAGTTAGACAAGCCAGCTGAGGGTACCATGGCAGAGGGTGAGACCCTAAGACCACAGAAGTTACTGGTGTCTAAAACAAAAATTTCTTTGTTACGGTTCATGTTCTAGTTAAAAAGATGTTGTTTAGCAAACTTTTATGATGAGATTGAGTTGTTGCAGTTTTGTAGTGGTTAATCTGGTCATCTTCTTTTTATTAAAAAGAGTTGTAATGGGGATTTTGCTGAATAACTGTGTTGGATTTCCTGTGTTTCATACTGATGATTATTGGTGTCTCACAATCTTCAAAATTAACATTTTTGCTTTTTTTTTTCCTATGTCTATTTTTATTGATATCTCCTGCAGACATTTGCATCAGGAATGGTGTTAGTATCCAAAATAAGCAAATTCTTCTTTCCCTGCTCCGTTGCTCTCTATGCGTTCTGGGCAGCTGCTGTTGCTATTCTTCTTCGGCTTTAACTTTAACCTGTAGCAACATTTGAATTATTTTCCCCCTATTTTTCCACCATCCCATTATTGAGTCTCAAAGGTTTATTCTTTCTCCCTTAAAACTGACTGTATAAGAAAGAAAATGTTATAGAAATTGTATTGGACTGTCTAATTATATTGGAATTGTGACTTGTTTTCATTCTCGGTAATCCTTTTGAATTTTCACTTGTATAAATCAGTTTACAATTTACTATAAATCATTCAATTCATCAAAGAAATTCATATTGTATGAGACTAATCATAATTAGTTTATATTATTTATACTCTATGTTAGTTTAGTCTGTACTAAGTATAGTATGTCAAGGCTCACCTTTGGTTAGATACACAACTTTTTTTTATCTTAAATAAGGAATCAAATGCTACGGTTGTTTAGTCTTTTATCAGGCTGTTTCTGGTCTTATTTGGCGTCGATGTATAAGTATGTGTCTAATCTGTTGATATCGTTTATATATTGAGTTATTGAAGATTGAAGATGGACTTATTCCTTTTCTATGAGCTTACTACTATGTCATTAGTATTGAGTGCAATATCTTGTAAATACTATGCATGTTTAACTGAGAACTTTCATTCTTTCCTTTTTGTTTAAATTTGACATTCTCTTAGATTCTTTACTCATACTTTGTGATAGTGAAGGATTCTTGTACACGAATAAACTTTCGGAACTTCGAGTTTATTTTCATTAACCTTGATACAACTGCTTACTTGTATGTTATGAACTTTTGAACAATGTCCCTATGTATTACACACCTCTCATGCACAGACTGCAGTGTAGTTCTTAAAGAATAGTGAAAATGCTTAAAGTTGCTTGTTATTACATTTGCGCATGTAATTTTAAGGTCTAAGGCACATGAAAGGTTTTT